GAGAGAGAGAGAGAGAGAGAGGGAGAGAATATGAGCAAATGTTAAATTGATGAATCTGGGTAAAGAGTAGATAAGGTTCTTCTACTTATCTTGCAATTTTTTCTAAGTCTGAAATATTTTAAAATAAATGTTCTTAAAAAGTCCTATGAAGTCTACACCAATCCAGATCTTTGTAGGGTCTTGTGTCCAAATACACGGACGACTGATCTATAAAGCTGGTGGAGAAATCTAATTTTTACAGCACTCTCAGGCAAAGATTAAAACCATGGTACTAGAACATGTAATACATCAGTCTCTTCAAGCCAAATCATCTTTATAAAATATTGCTTGCAGAAAAAAATCATGGTACCATTTCTGAATTTTAAAAATGTTTAAAATGCTGGGTTCCTCCCTCAACTTCACTGAACAAGCTGATAATACAACAGGGATATATTCCACAGTTGGGCTGTTGTGTTAGCAGTAAGGGGGAGTAAATGACTGTGAAAGAGAGAAGGTATGATGGCAAGAGAAGGAAATGAGTTAATGAGCAGGGACCACAACAGCGCACACAGGATACATTATAGCAATAGGACGAATCTCAGGGGTAGAATTCTAAACAAGGTAGGTCAGTCTTCACAATTATTTAAATAAAATGATAGTATGAAAAAGGAAACCAAGGTTTCCTTTTTCAAACTAAATAATACATCTGCGAATGATGTGCTGTATTAGAACATCAAGTGTCTGTTTTATATATTTATCTACATATGAAATAGCTGAATCAATTACAATGTTACAAATTAATGTTTCCCAAATAGGCTCCAAAGAACACTAATTCTATGAGATATTAGTAAATATCATTCATAAAAGAGTTAGAAAATCAAGTATGTTTGGGGAACAGCTAGACAGGCTTCTTAACTGGGCGTTTACTGTACTAAATCAGTTGTGACATTCTTAAAGGGGCACAGACCAGGCAGCGTTTCCCAAACATATGTGACTTCAGAACACTTTTCTCAAATAGTATCTCATGAGCTGTTTGAAGAATTGGAGTTAAACAAAAAAGTGGGTTACGGTGTTTAATTGCTAAGGCACTTTGGCAAGGTGGAAATTCACATGGGCTGAGGGACTGGAGCAGAGAACACACCTCCTCTCACAGGGGGAGTGCAGTCTATTCTGAGAGTCTACCTTTAAATGAAAAGCAATTAGAGCTCAGTGAATGTCCTTTCTCCAAAGGTGATTCTTTCATCCAATTCCCACCCCCCTGTAGAACACCTCACCAATATTCCTCCTTAAGAAGTGGCAAATCTTACATGGAGTACACATGTATCTTTAATATTTTGAGAAACAAACTTTACTCTCTATATAGTTACTATTCTAAGCTTAAGAATAGGAACCCGTGAATTCACAGCTCTTTCAAAACATACCCAATGGTCTCCTCACTATTCCCAAACCTGCCTTTTACCTGCAGCTTAATGTCTCCGCCTGGGTAGGACTCCCTGTGACCGAGTGCCCTACTTTGCAAACGCTGCCATGAAGCCCTCGAAGGCCCCGCCCACGTGACTGCATTTCGCAGGCCGTACCCTCTTCATTCCCACGGTTATCATGAACCCGCTAGTGACCTGTACGTGTATATGGACATTTATGATACCTAGCTACTTACTCTTCCCGCTAACCTTTCGTTTTTAGTACTTTATGCTTACTAATATACTGAGAAGGGAAAATCTGAGAATCACTTTAAGCGCAGAATTTAGGAGCCATTTAATCCAATCTTCAGTTTTGACAGATAAAGAAAACGAGGCCCTAGAGGCTGGGCGCCTCACAAGGGCCACGAGGCCGGTGAGGGCAGACCCAGTCTGATTTCATGTCACTACCCACTTTACCACAGCATTTGGCACCAACTCTCTAAGAGAGCGAATGCTGGACTTCATGTCACTGGCTCTAAACCTTAGAGACCCTTAAAGCAGGGTTGCCAGGGTTACCAAATAAAAATACAGCATGCTCATGCAACTTCTACCAAAAAATTATTGTTTATCTGAAATTCAAATTTAACTGGGCATCCTACTTTAGAATCAAAAGGAGTATTAGGAGCAAAAGAGCGATTTGAAGAAAAAACAGAGAAAATCACATTAGCAAACTGAACAAGACATTTTCTAGGCTGGCACTACTTAAAATGCCTTCCTCTTAGGACACCAACCAATTCAACAATCAGAAATACATCGTCAAAGGATCTGATATCCTAAAGAAATGCCTTTGGAATTTTAATTTTGGCCCAACACTAATAGTATACAGTACAAGCATCCCTCAACATCCACATATATTTTACCAAGAAGATGGCTGTAAAAAGAAGTTTCATGAAATAAGAATCTCTGGACAGGGATGGAAGGTAAGATGTTATCACCTGAGAGCATGGGCTCGGTCTACAGCCAGGTAGGTCAGAAACAGGACAGGCACCCGGAAATGCCTCAGGGGGCAAGGTCGTTAGTGTCATAACTTAGGACAGTGCCGTCTAGGCCTGATTCCTGATTAGGGCCACGAGCAAAGCTGGGGGGCGGGTTATATTCACCCCCAAGGCAAAGGTCTCAGGGCCTCTGGGATAAGGAGAAGCGGGGGGACTAACAGAGGACTGGGGAGTGACAGGGCGGAGACGGGGGGCACAGGCTGGTGGGAGGCAGGGACATGGAACACGCAATTTGGGGTGACAGGCAAAGAGGTGTCTGTCCTGATTAAGCTTTAGGGGAAAGCACATCAACAAAGGTGAAGCATTGAGCACAGACAGTACTGTCAGGAGCTAGTCAGTGCACTAAATGGGGGTCCCTGTGACCCCCAAACATCAGACTCAGACAAAATTTTAGGTGGTCTCCCCAAAACTTTTTCATGGAAGTGGGTAATAGCCCAACAGCTCTCCCGTCCCTTCCTTTTTTCTCCTCTTTGCCTGACAGGTACCAGTGACTAGGAGGGTCGGCCCGAAATGAAAAGAGAGCAGGATAACACTGACGGGACGCCATCCAAACGGAAATGAGGCTTCTGAATACTTACAACTTCTGATGCCGCAATTCAAATGCCACCCATGTTTAAAGGGCTCTCATTATAATACATTTTAAAATGTGTAAGAAACGTTGTTGTAGAAAATACACTTTTGGTCTTAGTATGTGACAAGCACCAATTTTCTAAGAAGAAAACTCTAAATCCTGTTCAAGAATTTTTAAAGAATGAATCCATGTTAATGTTTCTTCTTTCTTCACCAAGTAACCACTGTACAACTTACAATTCTTGGAATATAATTATAAGGCTCTAGCCATTAACCATTTCCCTTAAACACCATCATCTGATGAAGCTTCATTTTGTACTTCTACTCATGGGGTGTTTACAGCATGGCTTTCTAGGGTACAGTTAACATCATCAAATAATAGTTTAAAAAACACAGCTGTTAACATTTCCCCAAACAATACACATACGTGAGCATACGCAGAGTCTCCGAAAGGGGCCGTTTTCTTCTGTGCGGTATTTACCTTTTGACCTCCTGGAGTGTCAATCGTGTGATGTTCTTTCAATTTCTGTTCTTGCTCCAGTATGTCTTTCAAATGTTCATTGACCTTCAAATACAGAAATATGAATTTAAATTTATATGCAAAAGTAACAAAATAACATGCACCTTGAAATGCCTGTGGTCAGATGTCTGATGTCAAATGTCAGTACCACTTAAATGAAGAAAATTTCATTTTCCCAACCAGAAAAAAGTATTTTACAGGGGTTACATCTGATCCTCTAAGATTCGTCATTTATTTATTACCTGCTGTTGCGCACCTACCGCATGTCAGGAACAGGCTGGAGCTCAGAGGAGAGAAAAGGTGCTTGGTGACTTCTGTCAGTACCTTTGCATCTGCAGGGAAGGTTCCCCTCCCCCACTGCCTAGGAGACTCCCAAACCTGAGGGTGTGCAAGTGAACCTTCAAGAACCTTCAGAGCAGTGCACACTTGCTTCTCTGCCGCGTGCCAGAAAGGCATCGTGGGCCTGCCCCTCGTCTGCCCACCTCCGTTTCTTCCTTGCTGTCAGAACCACGGCTGGGCTCAGCCTCCACGGGCCCAGTTAAGGAGGCCCCTTTCCAGGCCAAGGGAGACTCCCCATCAGCCTCAGACAATCCTGACAGTCCCGTCTTCTGGCCAGGGAGTGGCTCAGGTACAGGCATGAGAGCCAGTCTTAGTCAGTGGGACCTGGGGTCGGGGGGTTTTCTGGGGGCAGGTTCTCCTTGGTCACAGAAGAGCCCAGAAGACCCCCTCATTTTTGCTGGATATTATCATGACTGCGTGTGGCCCCTGGAACCACTGCTGCCACTGTACAGCCATGACTGCAGACATCATATATAGTTAAGATGACAAAACAGAAAAGACGGAAGGCGCCTGCGTTCTCAATGGCGCTGCTGAGCCCCAAACAAACTCCCCTGGACGTGCCCGGCCTCCAGGCACCTGCCATGTGAATCATGAGCCCCTTCAGCTGTTTGGAGTTGGGTGAAGTCAAGGAGATGGTGGGAAGTAAAGGCTCAGGAGCTTGGAGCCCACGATGAAGTGAAGCACTGTATCCACAGGGGGTGCTTTAGAGTAAGTGAAAGAACGTTCAAGGAGAGGTGCGGCATGGGTGTGCAGGTCACGGAGCTTCTGAGGACGGACAGGTCTAGGGTGTGAGCCCACGATTCTCTACAGCTAAGGGGCGGTGGAGAAAAAGCCACCACGGACGGAAAGCAAAGGCACTCCAGGGGCAAAGCGTTAGATGGGCCTTCTCCACTCACTCGGAGGTCACGGGTAACGAGGAGAGAGGTGGGGGTCTTCCCTGTTCTTATTCTAAGAGGCTTCACGGAAGCATTCAAGGAAGGATACCTGAAGATAAAACCACTCTGAAATCTGTTCAGGTCTTGCTCACAGATAAGGTTTAGTTTTCTCTGGGGTGATGAAAGAGAATCAACGGGAATTAACCACTCCAACTGGCAGAGGGAGTGACAAACAGACAACCTAAGCGTCTTCAGGGCACAAATAACGAATCACAGCTCCATAAAAATTTCCAAGAAGAATCTATAATCTATATAAACTTATGCAACTCAGTCAAGCAAACCTAAGAATCATCTCATTGGAAACATGAAAACTGATTTCATTCTTGGGCTTAAAACATATGTTCCGAACACCCACAGTGTACAGTTCCTTACTCCGAGTGCTCATATCAGGGCATCTGATATGAACCAGATTAATCATTATGAAATATAATATAAATGTTACAGAATACATAGAAATCTATATATTTTGATTTTAACAGTAAGTTTTTTTTGTTTTGTCTTGTTTTGTTTTTGTCAAACGGGAACAAGAAATTTTAACAGGATTCCATAGCTTTAGCTTCCACTTTGGTTTCAAACAAAGAGTAATGGAGTGCATCTTAGTCTGTTCCGGCTGCTTTACCAATAACCCCATATAACTGATGGTTTATAAACCACAGACACTAACTTCTCACAGTTCTGGAGGCTGGAAGACCCAGATCAAGGCCCCGGCAGATAAGACGTCTGGTAAGGGCCTGCTTCCTGGCCACCGCCCTGCTGCGTCCTCACACAGCCAAAGGGCCAGGGAGCTCTCTAGGGTCCCTTTACAAGGACACTAGCCCCATTCATGGGCTCTGTCCTCAGACCTGACCACCTCCCACAGGCCCCACCTCCTAACACCGTCAACATAGGGATTTTGGGGGACACGGACATTCAGTCTATAGCAGAGTGGCAATGGAGAATTGAGGGCTTCACTCTCCCCGGTTAAGACACTCACTTTTCTTCGGTGAGTATGCTCCTACCTTATTTATCCAGTACATGACTGCGTCCTCAATGTCATAGGGCAGGTCCGTGGCTTGGAAGAACGCTGAATACTGCTGAGCACACGCAACGACTTTCTCCACACTGACCATTTCTACGGCGTAGGCCATCATGAGGGCGTCTACCATGGCCAAGTGAGCGCTCTGGAATACAAGACAAGAAGAAACGCTCAAACTCACACTTTGAAACTGCCATTTGTCTATTTTAAATATTAGTAACATTTCCTAACAAACAGCAGGACTATGGACTACAGAGGACGGCACTTAACACGAGAGCAGAGATGGTGCCCGCTCAGGTGAGCAATGCGCCATCCAAATACGTCCAAATGTTTCTGAGGGTCCATGCTGGGGACATTCATACTCCTGCTGAAGGGCACGCCTTTTCCTATTTGTGATAATGTCGTAATCATTTACTCAGCCATGTAAGTTACAAACACCAGCGTCATCTTCCACTGTCTTTCCTCTGCCTCTTATCCGCGTAGTAGGACTTCACAGATTCTGCTTGTAAAAAGGCTCTCAAGCCTGCCCTCTTCCTCGGTCTGACGGCCACAGTCCCACCTCAGGCCGGCAACACCTCTCACAGCTGACCAGGCAACGCCTCCAGCGGACGCCCTCGCTCTGGTTTCTCCCTCATTCTGTTGGTCCAGCGCAGGCCTCTAGTCCTCCCTTCCTGTTCGGCTGTTGTTTTATGTTTTTAAATACAAAAGTGTTCCATAGTGGTTCTTAAATGTCCAAACGACACAAAGTATCTAAAGAAGGAAGTACCCTGTCCCAGCAACATCTCCAAGTCGGCTTCGTTTTCTTACAAAGAAGTTTATTTAATGCGCGCCCACCAGCTAGACAGCTACACCGGCTCCTACTGTTCTGCACACGAGCCATGCTGCAGCCCTGGGTTTCTCCGGGTAGTTCCTGGGCCCCAAGGGAATCACATTTGACGTCTGATAGCGCTAACCTGCTCTCTAGAGAGCCCAAGCACCCTTGACCTCCCACCAACAGTGCCACCATTGTGCCGGTCCCGCCCCCACTTTTTTGGCCAACATCATCTGTATGATTCGGAAAGGTTAAAAACGCCCCCTGGTCGACTTTGCGTATCTCTGATTAATAAGGAGGAGAGTTTTTTTCTATGTTTAGCAGCGATTTGTATGTTTTCCTTGGAAAACTGCCTGCTTGTCTCCACTGCCTGTTTTTCTCCTTGGGATGTTCATCTTCCTTGATTTCGAAGAGTTCGTTCTACATCAGGTACATCGGATCCGTGTCATTCAGGTAGCAAATAGCTTCTCCCAGTTTGTCTTTGGATCTTCAGGCTTATTTATAATGTAGTTTGCGGCCTAAGTTCTCAATATTTACTTGAATTCTGACTTTTTCACTGGAGTAGGACATGGGTGGTATCTGTAAAAGCTCCCAGAACACGCGCAAGAGCAGCCAGGATTGAGAATCACTGACTCGCACTCCCTTCGGTCCAGGCTCCTGCACACAACACTTACTCCAGGTAGGCTGCAGGACCCTCGGAGACAAGGGCGTCGCCTCAGCCAGGTCCACGTTCCCTACACCCAGCGCCCACCTGGCCGCTGGAGAAAGGGGAGCGGGTCCCTCCCCATGGCTCCCTCGCACCCTTGCCTGTCCGTCTCGCCTTCCTTCTGGTCCCGCCCAGAGAGCATCTCCTCAGGGGGACCTTCCCTAAAGGTCCACCTGCCTCTCCCCAGCCAAAGCGTCTATCAAACCACACAGTGCACACAATCTGATGTCATCTAATGCGCGTTTGTTTTCTACCACTGTCCCCTCTCCTCCTGCCTCTGCTACAGACGCTTCATAAGAGAAGACGTGAAAAAACACCCAATCGCATTAGTTATCAGGGGAATGCAAATTAAAACCACGAGGAGATGCGACCCGAAGGTGGTGATGAGGATGTGGAGAAACAGGAGGCTCAGGCAGAGCTGGCGGCAGATCAAAGCCCAGCCACTCGGGGAAACTGCTCGGCAGCTACGTAAGTCCCACGCACTTACACTGATTCAGCTCCTAGGTATCGGCCTGGGAGAAATGAAAATACATGTCCTCACAGAGATGTGCACAAATGTTCACAGCTGCTCTATGTGTGATCGGCCCAAACCTGGAAACATCAATGTGTATCGCCCGCTGAGGGAACAAACTGTGGCGTTTGTCCGGGGTGCAGTACTGCACAACAAGGAAGAGCAGGCAACATGCAACGATGTGGGTGAATCTCAAAAACAGGAGCACAGGAACCCCCTTTCAAGAGATCGTGTGTGATGCATTCATCGATATGAAATTCTACAGGAGGCAAAAGAATCTAGTGACAGGAGACTAATGGGGGCGGGAGCCGAGAGCAGAGGCACAAGGGAACTGGGGGGGGTGGGTGATAAAAATGTTTACTCTGAATTGGAGCAGTATTTACATGAGTGGAAGCATGTGTCAGAACCCAAACTGTTTACTTTCAATAGGCATGTTTTATGTTAAGGCCTCAACAACGTTGATTTTTGGAAAGAAATCTCTGACCTTAGGAAGTCACTCAGACTTCACTAAGCTCAGCTTCTTCGTCTATTACATGTGGTTAACACTTAACTTCTCACCTCACATGGCATCAAACGTGATGTATACCAAAGTACTCTAAGAAGTTCTGAGTGATGTCAAGATTTACAGCGTTTCTATTGCTTTAGGAGTCATACAGTCCATGTACAACTATGAGATTAGCCTAGAGCAGCGGTTCTCAACCTGTGGGTCGCGACCCCTTTGGGGGTCGAACGATCCTTTCACAGGGGTCGCCTAAGACCATCGGAAAATAAAAAGATATTTACATTACAATTCATAACAGTAGCAAAATGACAGTTATAGAGTAGCAACGAAAATAATTTTATGGTTGGGGGTCACCACAACATGAGGAACTGTATTAAGGGGTCGCAGCATTAGGAAGGTTGAGAACCGCTGGCCTAGAGAATAGTTTAGTATCTACAGATGTAATCCTTTATTTTTATGTTTTCCCAAACAAATGCTGTCTCAGTGAATACTTGAAGGAATTAAATTAGGAGAGTTCAATAATACGTGCCAGACCCACTAACAGTGGGGCCACCAGTGAGCCGTCCGAGATCCATAAGCAGGAAGAAACACCAAGACAGGAGGACATGGGCCACGTTATGGGAAAAGCCACTAACACAGATGATTCTATCCAACAATCAAGATTTAACTACAGAACATACGGGCATTTTCCACATGTCCTAACCGTGGTGACCTGGGCACGGTTTATTTTTATGGCATTTGGGTATGGCAGCTCAGGCTTGTCCACCAGCACTCAGCATAACTGCCGCCACCCGAGCCAGCAGCGTGCAGTGACAGCCACGTGCTTTCATTTGCTGACCGCTGCGACGTTCCTAGCAGGCACATATGGTGCGCTTCAAAGTATGTGTGCGTTTCATAGCTTTCCAGATCTGAAAGTTTTCCAGGCATATGTGATACGGAGCCAAAAACTGTGCTTCAAATCTCAAAATCTACAAGTTACATCAGATACCCTGAAATGTTTATCATATAAAAATAGCCATCAGGAAAAGCTCCGCTTAACACTCAAAAAATCGCCTGAAAGGAAGTTTGTCAGCAAATTTCTTCCAGCTGGGCGTGTATGAAAATATTCCTGCCAGTACCAGCTCCACAGAACAAAAAGAAACTGAAGCCCACGAGGTTACCCACAGTCACAGCTGCTCCCTGGGTGCCCTAACCTACCTCCCAGCCAGGCTGCACCTCCCAGCAGGGTCTAGGAGACAGAAAAGAAGGTCCTGATGTGACCCTGGTGACATGGAGGCTACACCCAGGTTTTCAGAGGCTTTCAATTCAACTGGAAGTTGAACAACAGCAGGGAAGTTTCACCAGAATCTCACACAGACAGTAAGAAGTGTGACTACCTTCCCCAACCTGCCAAGTCCAGAGAGGTCACCCACGTCCTCCTGGACAAATGCCTGTTGGCAAGCAGTGTCCAGATAAGATGCCGCAGTGGAGGAACCAGGACCCCAAACAAACGTGACCTGAGCCGGCCTCCTGGCCTCCACACGTAGACACTGGCCAGAGCCCGGAATGCGATACCTATCGGGAGAAGCAAAGAGCTGTGGCTCGGAGGGGCAGCCCACAGCTCCCTGGCAGGAAAACGTGCCCTTACGTGAAAGGACTCGGAGCACACGAACCGGTGAGCTTAGGATGGGTGCGCCTCAGCCACAGAGCACGTGTCTTCCTCGCCCCCCAAATAAACTGGTGACGTGGTTCTCAGAAGCTGCTCTGACCTACCAAAAAACTGTCAAGCCTTTGCTCTGTTAACCAAGGTGAACAAATATGTAAAGGGGTCAAAAGACTGTCGCATTTTTTTAACCCTCTCACCTGGGAATACCTTACTGGACTGATTTTTCAAATAGCTGACAAGTACTGACCAAATAAAATGCTACCTCAATAACTTTGGTGGACCATGACATATATAGCTCCTTTAAAACAATTTGTAATGAGTCATTAACTACTGACACTATTTAAACTTAAATTCAAATTTAGGTAATCAAAAATTCAATGAATAACGCTCTTATGTATCAATACTGCTGTCTAACAAAAGAAAGGCTGGGAAAAAGCAGTGTTCCTTGGAGTCTCAGGCTTTCTCTAGTAACGGAAACTAGTGGTATGGCATCCACTCTGTTTAAGACGGGAAGGAGAAGCTTATTATAGCCAAGTGCCAGGGTAATTCATAAAATGTCAGAAAAGCCAAAGACTTTCTGACCCCGTATGCCTCATCATTTAAAACTTTTAAAAAAGAAACTTTTAATTTTTTATTTCAAAACTACTCTAGAAAAAGCTGAGATTGTTCTTAATATATCTTACGTTCCATATTTATTAAACAGACGGGTTAAAATATCTTTCCAATCTGAGACATGAGACCAGAAAATGATTAAGTAGCAAAATGAGGGGAAACAGCAGACGCAGGTGTGGCCGAGGACAAGCAGGTGACGGGCCGAGTGGGGCGGTGCTTCACGGCACAGCCCTGGCAGCTCCCCACAGGTCCATCCAGGCATCACCTACATATCTGTGCTTCTAACAGCTCTACCCCTGGCCTCTGGCCTCTGCTTCACTCTAACCCATGTCCTTCCTGGCATCTCCATCCCACATCC